GTCTTCCTCCTGAACTGTACTCCATCTGGGAAGCCTACCCATGGCGCCTGGGGGAGGCGTTTTGCTACCTACGTCAGAGCGTTCTGGAGTCTACGTCATACGCCTCTGTGCTGACCATCACGGCCTTCACCGTAGAGCGCTACCTGGCCATTTGCCACCCTCTTCTGGCGCACAAAATTTCGGCTCTTTCCAGGTAACCTTTATTAATTTTTGTGTCTATGTAGGCCTACTTGTTTATTTGTCCATGAAATGCACCTCCAAGCAAAAATTGGCTTCTTAATGAACGCTTTTAAGTGGTACAATTTTGTGTCATCCTAAATTTTGATTAACATTTTTAAAACTTAATATTTCTTGAATATGTTCTTAGATTTTTTTTCGTATTTATGAACTTGGCTGACTTTTATTTTTTCGACATTATGTTATAATTAGTGCAGAGATTATTGAGATATTGCCCCTTAAGTGGCCCCCCTTTATATTTTTAAACATCATGTAGATAGTACAGTTTAAAGTATTGACATTCAATTTTGATACTATATGTTCATTATCAGTCAGTGTGTTCACTAGTAAATTGGCCGTTCCTTAGTCTCTTATTTGCTTAGTAACGACTTAGTTGTTCAGTTTATTAGTATTAGTATGCTAGGTTTAAAACACTTCTCATAAAATAATGAGCACCAATCGTTATGTGCACTATCGGTTGTTTCTGACTATAAGATATTCCTCTTCAGAGTAAACTTCTTTTTGTTCTTCAATCATAATAACAATTAAAGAAAAAATGTATTTGTGTAGCGCCAATCCATGTACTACTGCATTTCCTATTATCTAATACCGCCTTTCGCTTTTTGCATCTGTGCAGAGCTGTGAAGATTATTATCTCAATCTGGGCAGTCTCGCTGATGGTAGCTTTGCCTTATGCTGCACACACTCGTATATATTATCAGGTAAGTAGAAAACCTATCTATCTATCTATCTATCTATCTATCTATCTATCTATCTATCTATCTATCTATCTATCTATGACCGACTCTTCAGGAGAACGACCCCAACCTCCACACCCTTGCCACACGCCGTGCACAAAGACTTCAACCTCTTTCTGTTATGATAAAACTTGCCCTTTACCCGCTCATCCCTATTCATGACCTGTCATTGAGAGTCCTCTGACACTAACTATACTTCTCCTGTTATGTCTGTCTTGGGATCTGGTGGTCCCATAAGATAATACTTGGTTCCACAGAACTGCTAAGTTTATTTAGGGACGGCATGAATGCAACCCACAAGCGTTATAGTTCTAATGTGGGTTTTTTTTCTTTCTTTTTTGCAAGGTTTTAAACATGGGAATGGCCTTCTAAAGAAAACGAATCTAATGATATTTCTACTCGTGAATGGAAATGAAAAGACGTGTTTATCCTTTCTCTTCCGAGATCTCTTTCTCCCTCTCTCTCTGTCTGTCTCTCTTTCTCTTCCTCTCTCTCTGCCCCCCATCTCTCTTTCTCCCCCCCCCCTCTCTCTCTCTCTCTCTCTCTCTCTCTCTCTCTCTCTCTCTCTCTCTTTCTCTTTCTCTCCACCTCACTCTTGCTATTTCTTTTGGTGTCTGTCTGACTGCCCCCCTCATCCCTCTTTCTCTCTCTCTCTCTCTCTCTCTCTCTCTCTCTCTCTCTCTCTTTCTCTCTCTCTCTTTCTCTCTCTCTCTCTCCCTCTCTCTTTCTCTCCCTCTTTCTCTCTCCCTCTCTCTTTCTTTCTCTCTTTCTCTCCCTATTTCTCTTTCTCTCTCTCTCTGCCTCTCTCTCCCCCCTCCCTTCCTCTCTCCCCACTCCCCATTCGAACCCCAAACAGCCCTTTCTCACAGTTAAAACAAACATTATATGAATATATTTAAATATTGTTTGTTCTTTTAAACTTCTTTGACCACGCCAGGTCCGTGTGCCGGAGACGAACGAAGCGGTGCCGGAGTCGTTGATGTGCAGTATCCCGTACCACTTTCTGTCCGGATTCATGTACTACATGTTCCAAGTGTCGACCTTCATCTTTTTCATCACGCCCGTCACCGTCATCATCATCCTCTACATTCTTATTGGTACGAGACATTATTTTAGGGAAAGACCCTTGAATGGGATGGACAGAACGGTAGACATAAAAGAGAGAGGATGGGGGAGAGAGAGAGGGGGAAGGGGCATGACAGATGAAGAGAGAGGGAAAGAGAAGGAGAACGACCGAGAGGAAGAGAGAGAGAGAGAGAGAGAGAGAGAGAGAGAGAGAGAGAGAGAGAGAGAGAGAGAGAGAGAGAGAGAGAAAGAAATGTTTTCAGGTATATTTTTACTAAATCAATGCTTTCAGTTAATGTACGTATGGCTGAATTGCAAACTGGATTATTTTTAAAATGTTAAAACGGAACTACACAAAAAGCAACAAACCGTAGACATAATAATATTATGTAAACATATAAAGAAACTATTGTTCGACATTTTGTCTAATATTATACATTGAAACCAAGCAAGTTCTTCTTTCGTGGTTAACATAGCGAGTTGGGAAGCTTCTAATATAGCTTTTCATATTAAGGAGAGCTAAGGAACGTTGATAAGAACATATCCTGTTACTGATTACGGCAAAAGTTTCGGGCCCACTTTCTCAGGAAAACGGGAATACATGTATAGGTCTATCCTTTCTCCGCATCTCTATCCCGCCCCTTTTTTTCTTTATTTTGCGGCTTTGTTCTCACTCTCTCTCTCTCTCACGATTCATCACTACTTTATTTTTAGTCTCTCTCTCCATTCCTTCCTTCCCCTCCTTGATTCCTTTCTGTAGCCTGTCCGCCCTTTCTCAATTTCTGTCGCTCCTATTCCCAAGAGGAACACGAAGACAACGAACCCTTACATTGATTAGGAAAATCCTTTCACCTATTTACTGAAGAATCTCTTGCTTTAGGCCCCTTTCACACTAGAAAAAACTCCACTTGTCGCACGGTTGCGAATTTCGTAAATTTTATTAAGGCTATTTTCGCCCTAGTGTCTCGTTTCACTGCAGGTGACGTCATTCTTCGCAGACGAAGACGGTGCGATATTTTCCTAGTGTTGGCGTGGTTTTACGTGCTTCCCTGCACCATCTCGGTGCAAGTGAATAAATAATGCCATAGAATCTCCTAGCGGACTGTCTATCTTGGGATACGTTTTTAATTCCCAAACCTTAGGTGTAACTTGGCAAGTGAAGCAAAAAGCCTCCAGAATTCGGTGCCCAAAAAAAATGTTCCTATATTTTGAAATTACCAATGCCTGTTACTTCTTTGTGAGCATATTTCCTCCTCGCTATTGATGTTGTATCAAAACATTGCTTTATTTCGTATTTCTTTTTTTTCTGGATTGTTTGGGGCGCCACTCATAACTTTGGTCCCACGGTAAGATACCAGATTAGAGAACAAATTAAATGAAAACAAATAAATGAAGAAAATAAACCTACGTCTGTTATTCATTCGTGTAATTAAAAAGAAATGGGTGTGTGTGTGGGGGTGGGGGGGTGGGGGGGGGGGGCATTTCTGTTACATTAATTAAAAACTTTAAACAGCAGGCAAAACATGCATACCGTGAAATGTAATAATTTGTGGTTCTGGTTTGTTTATGATGATTCGAAATGAACCTCAACATTGCTTCTGGTCTGATGCTGAATGTCTGCTATGCATTTAAAGAGCTAACTCTTTGGACGCGCTTTAAAAAAGAAGCATGACTTTGTTATTTGTAAAAAAAATAAATTCAAATATTGTGTTTTCTATATATAAAACTTACAATGGGGATTGACAATTTGTACACAACATATTCACAGCACACTACATAGTCGTGTTTCTGATTTGTGCCACAACATTGCTTTAGTCTACTGCTGATTTGGGAATTAGTGTCTGCTAAGCACTAAGACAGTAAATACATGTGTCACGACGCGGTGGAATCAGACGCTCGTCAGATTTTAAACATGTAGAATTACTGGTATCATCTTAACGGTTGCTCATTTGTCTTGCTTTCTGTGAAAAAGTTACTCAAATATCCTGAATAGAAGTCGAGATATTTGCGATTGAAGGAAGTGTGAGTCGATTGGTTTCAGATGTAAAACTAGCGAGAAAATGGCCGTCAAAGCTTGGCGACTTCCAAAGCTTGAGAGGCCTTAGGAACTGCAAATTTACTTCTTGACTCAACATTTTTTCAGTACAATCCACGCAGGAATGTGTTTTGAAATGGACTTTAAGGGTGTTGCGTAAAAAAACAAACAAAAAATTCAATAAAAAATTGCCAAACGGACACGAAAATGCCAATTTAATTGATTTCATTATTTTGAAGAGCACCTGATTTCACCACGATGCCTCACAAATGTTATTCTCCATCAATCCTTCAGGTGTATCGTTGAGGCGATCTCCGCTGGCCAGGGGAGCCTCTGATGAGCGCAGCTACTCCAGTATGAAGAGCTCATCCAAGTTGCCACAGCAACCACGCAAAGTGGTCATACGCATGCTCAGTGAGTTTCTTTTCTCATTTTACGCATGCTTAGTGAGTACTTTTCTCAGTCATACTCAGTGAGTCCATTTCTTCTTCCTTTGCTCCCTTTTTTCTACATGGTCCTGTTTATTTTGTTTTCAATGTGGGAGCATTGTTATCGTAGAAGGAATCGAACAGGCGCCATCCACTCCGTAGTCCAGCATGCCGACCTCGAGTAGGTTTAGAGTTTTTAAAACTTTCCAATTTGACTCAAGTTGAAGAATGGACGATGTTGTGGATTATAACCATGGGCATTTATTGCTTCCTTACCCAGCATATTAATATCTACGAGTACTGAACAGACAATAAGCATTGAATTCTAGTCTAATAATGTTGGTGTGGGTTGAATTTTGCCCACCTAAATGACAAGATCGAGTTCCACAATACGTCAATATGTTTGCTGTTGGCACGTTTCAGTATTATTTGCTGACAATAGAGGGGATATTTAAAATCTATTATCCATCTACATTAAAGACTAACAACTCAAAAAAA